ACATCCGCTGCCTGCCGGACGTCCTGGTCATTAACTGTGAGGTGAACAGCTCCAAGGAGGCAGATTTCTGGAAGACACAGGCTGAGGTGGGGGAGACACTTTGGGGCAGAAGCAGGCTTGTTCTCCCTGGCACATGGGGTTTGCTGCGTGTCCAGTTCTGCGGAGGTGTTTTCACTCTGATCTCGCTGTCTCTAACAGTCTCTTGCTCTCCACCTGAGCATCACCCTACTTTGTTCACAGAGGACATGTTGGTATTTGGTCATGCTTGTAGCATGAGCCATGCGCTTGGAGTTGGAAAAGACAAGATTCCTGCCATGACAAAGCTGATGGGACTGCAGTAGAGTCACTCTTTCATTTCCCCAGTCCCCCACGACCTAGGAGCAGCAAGGCAGTGCCTGCTTCGCAGAGCACAAGCCCAGCAGAGAGCGGGTGGACAGTTGGGTTTCCCTTGCTGTCTTTTTCCCCTCTCACCGACTTCAAAAGTCCCTGTCTTTTCCCCACTTCTGGCCTGGCTGTCACCTACGTGTTCCCAAGCCCAGCCTGTCACTCTGCGCTGACGCTTGCCTGTGTTTCGTTGCCAGTATGCCTTTCAGAGAGCCATGATGAAGAGAGGAGGCTTTGAGATCACCAAAGGCAAAGAAATCTCTCTTGGAGAGTGGTAGGTGACCGTTCCTGGGGTGGCGACTCTGAGCAGTGACACCTTCTGGGTTGTTCTCTGGGCCTTGGAGAGCTCAGGGCCATTTCTCATCTGATAATTTGATAATCTACCTGTCTGTAGCTCCTTGGGGGCTCTGAACTGGAACAGTCTCATTGCTGCTCTGAGACTGTGACCCTGTATGGGCGCCCTGCACAGCATCTCCTTCAGATACCCTTGTGATCCACCTTGTGACCCATTTTTGAGCCCCCAGCTCTCATTGCCCTTCCCTTTTCAGACTGACAAAAGACCAAGGACCATGTATCGGCCCTTTCTGGCCAACATTAACTGACCGCCTTTCCCAGGGCCCTGCTCTAGGCAGCTGTGGGGAAGTGATGCAGCTCTGGTTTCCCCATCTGTCCTGCGGAAGGTTCAGGAATAGGCTGGCGAGTGGGTGGGTGGGGTGACGGGGTTCCTGCCCTGGAGAAGTTGGCCTGGACAACATCTCATGACTCCCTCCAACTTGGCCTTCCATGATTCTCCGTGCAGGAAGGAGCTGGGGAACCCCAACACAGGGCATTCGTATCCTTCTGTGGAGGAACTGAAGAATATTTGGATCCCTCATGCCATCAAGATGAGGCTGACCAAGAGCAAGGAGCTAGATGTCTGCAACTGGAGTGAGAGTGATGAGGTAAAGGCTGATGAGATCCTTCTGGGGCTACGTGGTTTTGCGCACGTGGGGCTGTGGGAGCAGAACTGGTTCAGAACTGCTTTCTGCTGAGCATGTGTGGGCGAGAGATAATGAGGCTGTCTCGGAGACACCTTGGGTGACCATGGAAACCTCTGGGCTGGTGGTGAGACAGCATGTCCGAGCTCTGGGGTTTGGGTTGGAGGCCTGGGAGCTGCCTGGCTGACAGCCGGGGCTCAGATGTTTCCCTGGGACTGGTTCCTCCTGCAGCTGAGCCCAACCGATGACCCTGAGTCGGTTTATGTCTACGATCTAATGGCCACTGTCGTCCACATCCTGGATTCCCGCACGGGGGGCAGCCTGGTGGGGCACATCAAAGTGGGAGAGACCTACCACCAAAGGAAGGAGGTGAGAAGCCCTGCGGGATGGGTGCTCTCCTGCCCACAGCCATTGTACCCACAGGCTGCCAAGAGCAGCCCTGCTTCCCTGAAGTCCTGCCTTGCCGAGGGGTTCTCGCCCATGGCTAGCTCCGGGGTCGGGTTGTTTCACAGACCCGTTCCTGGGTCTCTTAGTCAAGTGTTGAGTGTTTGGCTGAATGTGCCATGCAGCCCTAAACAGCTAAGTGCTGCTCACGCACCTTACGGGGAGGGAAGGGCTGAAGAAGCACTCTTCCCACACTTACTCAGGCTGGTTCCTCCTGGTCACAGGCACGTTGCCAGCTTGTCCTTGTGCTTCCAGGTAAGGGCTGGGACGTCATCTCCCTTCCTGAGGAAAGGGGGCTGGGCTGGGCAGTCCTGTTGTATGGTGGAGATGCCCAAGCCAGGAGTTCCCAGAGTGTGTCAAGGCTGCATCCCTGTCTCTTATCTGTTGCATCTCCATGGGGTTGTGGTTACGAGTCGGGCAGGGACCGTGCCTGTCCAGCCTGAGTGCTTCATGTATGCACTGTCACCACCCAGGCCAGCAGGGATTTCCCCACAGTGTCCCAGGAAGGGCGGGAGTTCCCACATGGCATGGTCACACCCCTCTTTCCCTGGTAATTGGGTAGAGGAGTCATTGCATTTGCCTGGGGGGGGCCCCTAAGGCAGTGCCTCTGCCTCTCCCCCCAGGGAGTCACACACCAGCAGTGGTATCTCTTCAACGACTTCCTCATTGAGCCTGTGGATAAGGTGAGTGCTCGGGGGCCGTGCCACTGGCCCTGTGTTGACGCAAGACCGTGGCTGCGGGGACCCCATGGAGGGGGGGTTCCTGCTGCACACAGGAGCACCAAGCCCCACACCAGGCTGCCCCTGCACTGTCCTCCCCTCCCCTGCAGTGCGAGGCGGTGCAGTTTGACATGAGCTGGAAGGTGCCGGCTATCCTGTACTACGCCCGGCGCAACCTCAACGCCAAGTACAACCTCGTCAGTGAGTGTCTGGGGTGGAAGTGGCTGCATGGCCAGCAGCACTGGCTCGCAGCTGATTTCCCTTCCCCTTTTCCTGCAGTCAAGAACCCGATCGAAGCCAGCGTGCTGCTGGCGGAGGCCTCCTTGGCTCGCAAGCAGCGCAAGTGCCATGCCACCTTCATCCCCCTCATGTTGAATGAGATGCCGCAGGCGGGCGACCTGGTGGGGCTGGATGCCGAATTTGTCACGCTGAATGAGGTCAGGCCTCCCCACAGCAGGGGAGGGGGTGCTGGGGTGCAGGGGCAGCCCCTCTGGGTGCGCCTGGTCCCCATGGGGACTGCAGGAGCTGTTGATCACCGAGCTCTCCTCTCACCCATTGCAGGAGGAGGCCGAGCTTCGCAGTGACGGGACCAAGTCCACCATCAAGCCCAGCCAGATGTCGGTGGCCAGGATCACATGCGTGCGCGGCCAGGGCCCTAATGAGGGCGTCCCCTTCATTGACGACTATATCTCCACACAAGAGCAGGTATGGGGCTCCTGCCTGGCCTCACGCAGCTCCCCAGCCCCACAGGGAAGACATGGACCCACTCTGCCTCCCATTCCACAGAGGGGCACCCACAATAATGGCAGCACCCTCCCCGGGATGCTGGCAGGGGACTTGGGGAGGGGGCAGACCCCCACGGCTGCCCCTCAGCCCTCCCAGCCCACCTCCATGGGCCCTGGTCTCCGCAGGTAGTGGATTACCTGACCCAATACTCGGGGATCAAGCCGGGGGACCTGGATGCCAAGATCTCCTCCAAGCACCTCACCACTCTCAAATCCACCTACCTGAAGCTGCGCTTCCTCATCGATGTGGGAGTCAAGTTTGTGGGCCATGGGCTGCAGAAGGACTTCCGTGTCATCAACCTGATGGTGACAGCATGGAGCCTCCCCTCCCTTAACCCAGGCGTGGGGGTCTCAGGGTGGGGCTGGGAGGCTGGTGGCAGCACTGGGGCTCGGCGGCTTCCCCCCCCCCACCCTGGCAGCAGGACCCTCTGCTTTCCAGGTGCCCAAGGACCAGGTGATCGACACCGTCTACCTGTTCCACATCCCAAGGAAGAGGATGATTTCCCTGCGCTTCCTCGCCTGGTACTTCCTGGGTCAGTGGCTGAACCCTCAGATCCAGCAGGGGCAGGAGCGGGGGGTCCCTGCCAGCCCCCCTCCTCCCTGACCTGGGCTTTCCCCCCAGACCTGAAGATCCAGGGGGAGACCCACGACAGCATCGAGGACGCGCGCACGGCGCTGCAGCTCTACCGCAAGTACCTGGAGCTGACCCCGCAGGGTGCTGAGCCCGAGGACTTCCGCAAGGTGCTCAAGGGCCTCTACGAGAAGGGGCGCAAGATGGACTGGAAGGTGCCCGAGCCTGACACCCAGAGCAGCCCCAAGCGTAAGGCAACGCTACAGCCCCCC